TCAGAATGACTTTGGTTGATTGAAAACCACCATTTTGGGTGTTACCTTGCGGATGGAGGCATACATTTCGGGGTCCAATATCATTCATATTTTGTATTCAACAACTCAGACTGGTTGATATATCTCCTATGTATGATATCTGTTACATGTGGCTGCCTGTGCAATGCACAGCAGATTATTTCGCTGGGTGGCCAGCTAGCCGGGTATTTGGTGATGTTGGACTCGCATCTGAAATAAATTCGCTGCAACACCAAACCAAGATATATTTTGGCGGGCAAGGGCTCAAAATGTTCGCAAGATGCATGCCTTCAATCTGATCCAGTGTGGACTGGAACAGCTTCCTACAGCGAGGACCGACCGGGCATGAATGCTTACGTGGCCAGCTGCCCGATCAAAAATAGTAGACGTTCAGTACAGAATTAGGCCAACATTTTCCTCGTGCACATGAATGGATGCACAAAATTGTGCACCGGCTCGGATAATTCTCTACAGTGTCAGTGATGTTGAAATTGCAGTTTTGACCTTGGCTTGTAGGGCGCGACGCCGGACTTCCTCTAGTAGCAGAAATGCTGGCCAGCTGGAACATTGGTCACCCAGTCATCAGGAGTTTCGAGAAATTTTTTCCAAAAAGAAAAAGCATGCACGTGCTCGGGAGGCCGGCGATTGGATGCGCACACTTGGGTTGGATCTAACGCCGGAACTCGAGGCCGTTTTGAGCGATCCATTGATGCATTTAATGGGACATGACGCGCTTCTCGGCCTGACACAGCAGGAATGCAACATCAGGGTCATGGGTGTGGGATCGGTTCTTTTCCAGCTCCTTGCGGTGCAGCACGAACTCGGGGAGCCGTTGAATCTCAATGGTGACCTGATCGAGGATCTCAAGGATGACAGTGTTGTGGCGTGCCGGCCAGATGGGGACGAAGCGCTCAATGCGATGTTTAGCGCAATTCCTACCACCAGCACAGAGTCCAGTGTTCTGGTTCAACAAATGTCGGCCTTCAAGCGCGATCACACAACTTTTGACGAAGAATTCTGACCACCAATATTTCGGTGCGACCGACCTTCTCACTTCCCTCCCACAGATCCCATACCTGTCGTGGTCAAGGGCGTGTTGAAACGTAAGAAGAACGAGGAAATCAAGGCCGAAAAGCCGGCCAAACGGGCGAAACCTGAGCCAAAGAAGGAGCGGAAACGTGGGGCGACAAGACGTGGGGCGACAAAACGCAAGGCTCACGACGAAATCGACGACGAAAAACCGACAAAAGGGGCCAGAACTCACCAGAAAAAGGCTCAGGAAGGTCCCAGCAAGAGTGCGAAAAACCCACCCGCCTCGAGGCCGACCACTCGGCGTACCGGTGCGGGAAAGAGGTAGTGTCGATAATCGGACAGAAGGGAGCAAAAAAACATGGTGCGAGGATGTTCAAAAAACATACCCCATCCGACTCGGCGCCGTTGTTCAAATCATAGATTCAGATCTGGGTAGATTAGAATGCTTTACTGGCTTGAACGATTATGAATGCACCGGTTTGGTGTGGGATAAGGGCACTGGTATAGATTTCCGTCCAATTAATTCAGGAAGTATTGGAAGAAAAGGAAGAAATGTGGTATTGCATCAATGAATATAGTCGACTGATTTGGAATTGATTTCATAAGACACTGCAGAGCTGAGATGTAGCCATATTCAACTAGAAATGAGAGAATACTTGCTAACTGGAGGTACTGAATGGCTCACATGCTCGATAATTAAAATGTCATGTTTTCAGCGGGCAAAGTTTGTGGCTTGGGAGACAGGGACAGATGTGGGAAGATGCCGATAAAGGAGAAAGGTATGGAAGCATGCTGGAGAAGATATCATCAAGTTACTTACAGTGGAATGGCTTGGTGTTAAGCGAGCACAACTCAAGTCAAGCCGCAAGCCACGCCCGCCACGCCCGCCCAGCCAAATTCAAACTCCGCTAAGCGGGGCAAGCCATTTAGCCAAGCCAATCGGAGAAGTCTGCCAACTCCCGCAATCACACCACAAAGGGAAATGTTTGCGGTAGGATAAAAACTGACTCTGATTCCACTAATATCATTTTGAGTTTTCCTCCTACCTTACACTATGAGAATTAATATAATGTCAACCAAAACTGAATCAAATGGTTTCAAAAGTGCTTTCAATGTCACAAAGAAAGGTAGTTTCTGCAGATCATGAAAGGCTTGTAGAAAATTGAAGTTTCATTTGCAGTTTTCAAGGCCACTGAAAGGATTAGTTTCACAAATAAAGAAAGGCATCTTGAAAGAACCACTTTCAAAGTGCCTTTCAAACACGTTGAAGCAACAAGTTTCAAGCATCAAGAAACCTTGCGCTATTTTTGCCATTGGTCCGGCATTTTCCGGACCAATGGCAAAAATAGCTCAAAGTTTCCGTGCCGCGGAAACTTGCTGTTTCGGGGTATTGGAAAGTGGCCAGAAAAGCGAATCTTTCAATGCTGCTTCCTTTGTCGATCAAACTCGTTCTTTTGCTGGTCTCGAAAGGGGCTGTGACAGTGATGGTTTGTGGGGCCCTTTCATGAAGCAAAGAAACTAGCTTTCTTTGTGACATTGAAAGAGCTTTTGAAACCATATGATTCATTTTCAGTTTATATTATCCATAATGCTCATAGTTGAAGGTAAGAAAGGAACTTGAATAGATACTAATGGAATCACAAGTGGTTTTCATCCTACCACAAATATTTCCATTTGTGGTGTGAATGGTCAACTACAAGTCTTTGCTTGCTCTCAATATCATGCCCCTCTTCTCCGTCGCCTCAGCCGTCCCCGCGAACCCTGGTGCTGTATGTTGGCGCACTTTCGTCAAAGTCTCTTTCTAACTATCTGCCATATAGGACCTCAGTGGGCCCGGGACTCTTGGGCCCGGGACCCTTGGGCTATGCACCGGTCCCGGAGTTGGCGTCAATTGCACGGATTTCCAACTCGTCTCAGGCTCCAGTTCCGGCACCGCTCTCACAGGAGCGTTGAGTTTCTTGAACCAGGAAGTCATCTCCGTGGTCGTGCCCGATAAATTCCTCTGCACATTCTTCCAGTTAGTCCTGTTGAGCTCCTGCGCACACCGTGAGCTGATATATGTTTCTGCAGGGGCTTCACGTGCACCTCATCGGGTGCCAACGGCGAGGTCTCCATGACTGAGGGAGTCTGGAATCTGGCAGGTGCACCTGGGGCCTCAGGCTCGGTGGACTTCAGCGATCTCACGGGCTCGTTCAGCTGCGTGTCGTCGGTCATTTAATGTATTCCAAAGAACTGGGGATGGGGCGTGTCAATTTACGCGATGTGTTGAATTTTTGTTGGATCACTCGTCAGACGTACTTGAAGCCGATATTAATGACCCACCCTTTGATACAGAGATCAAATCTGCAGTTTCCGACCTTTAAAGATTACAGCGCAGTATCCATAAAGTGTTCCGGACCAGCGATGTAAATTCCATCTGACTACGCATATTCCTCACTTGGCATCATGGTCGCTTCGAGTGGTCTCTACCTCCAGGCAGATTTTCTAATTCCTGGTCATTTACGCTACCAGCAAGGTCTGTGCCGCCGGGGCTCAGATTGGTCCGCTGAGGATGGTCCCACCATTTGGAATCGAGGTGGCTCAAGGGATTGCGCAGTAATGACAGCCCTTCGAACTACATTGCCAGCTGAATAAATTCCTCAAAGAATTGCCCCCATTGATAGCAATAAGCACGATCCTTTGAATTACAAGCAGTGACCCAATTCCTGACAAAGTGCACCCTCGTTGAGATTACACGGTCCGCTCTCCCCTTTCGAAACATGCCATTCAAAGCACAACGAGACGTTCGGATACTTACCTCAGCGTCGATGTGGACATGATCATACAGCGGGTATCCGGGATGTAGGGCGACATCCTGAGCGTGGGACACAAACCCTTTGCCCCGATGAGATCTGGAATCCTTCGTAAACATCGTCATTTCAGGAGTATCCGAAGAATGCGAAAGCCGATTTTTGTTGGGGGTCCTTTGTGATGAGGCGGGCGGCGCTGGCCATTATGCAGGTCCATCTGGCCACTGAAGTGAACCTGGGCCAACCTAGAAATCTCGGGGTGAACTAACATATGCATGGTAGCATTCAGGACCGGGACCGTTGTATGTGTTAGACAAACATTAGAAGACGAAATCGATTCCACGTGCGCAAACTGGCAAACTGGTATTGCTCCACAGAACTTAGTAAATCCGCACAGTAATTTTGCAAACGGTGAGACGTTCCCTGGAGGTGCGCGGAAACATGATTCGCCTGTGCTAGCCGTGACTTTACAGTAGAGTCGTTCGAAACGCTGGTTATCATCAACAAGTATTCAGAATACTCAACCACGAAGGAAACGATCTACCGCCCGACTGCTCCCGGGGCAGGTTTTGAACATTGCTGCTAGCTCCGGGTGTGAGTGGTGTCCGAGGTCCATAGAGGATGAGGGGAAAGGGAATGGGCACGGATTACCGGTCTTCCATGCGGCTGTATGGCAATCTCGATGCCTCTCTGTCCGGAAGTTCTAAAATGTCCAACATCTGTGTATCTTCTCGTAACCCTGGGTTTTTCATTTCTCCTCTGGTGGCGGTTTTCTGGTCAGCTAAGAATTTAGTGACAGCATTGGATCCTCTTCGCGACTCAGATTTGAACCAGAAACACGCGACACGTTGAGCCTTTTTTTCAACAACGCCTTTCAACTTGCTGGAACACGACACAATGGCAACCTCCAAATAAAGATCGCCAAAGAAAAAACACAAGAAAGCACGAGGCCAAAAACACGACAAACAAGGCATTCGAACGTCCGGCGGTGGGTTGAGAACTTCATGGCCCTTTCTCAGCATATGGTAATGACTAGCCCATAATGCTCAGCAGCTTTATAGATGTATTGATTTGAGGGTGACACACCCACTGCAAGGCTGAGCCAAAAGACACGAATACAGCAACAAATGAGAAGGAAAAAACTCACAGATCTTCAAGCCATGCATTAAGGGGGAATCGAACCCCCGGCGGGTCGAGAGTGTCAAAGCTCCAGTCATGGCAACGACCCAGGTTACCACTACCCCATTAATGCTTGGGAATTAATTGGGCATTTAGGCAGGAAATGTTCTGTCACCGAGGTTGAGCCAAGAAGTGCATGTGAGAAGTATTCCCTGGTCAAGTGTTGACTAATACAATAATTATAAACAAGCGAACTACTGCCCGTCCTCGTTCTATCCTCATCCGTTCGGAACCGATATGACTGTGGTACAATAACAACAACAGACGAGACGCGGAGGCACGGTGTGCGAGCAACAACGGCGGTGCCAGACACCGCACCAATATTGGTATACCCCTGTGAGTGCTCCCCAGGGCCTACCGCGACCCAGGATTATTATCGTAGCATTGGGCACGAAACAATACACTCACGGAAAACAGTGCGCGGTGCATCCGCAATTGCCCCTCACCCGTCCGCATCCATCCGAGTCGCAGCCCTACTCGGATTCGGATTCGCACGCACCCGCTTTAGATTTAGAACCGTCCCCATCTTTATTCGCGTTCATCTTCACCTCCCTCTGGCGCGCCTTCGCCATCTCCCACATGTACACATTCCGCCGGCACCCGTCCCCCGGGAACGGGTAGTCGGCGGGGTAGCCGCTCTTCTTGTTCGCCTCCGCAAGACGACGCGCCTTCTCCTGCGCGAGGCGACGCTGCTCCTCCTGCGCGGCGTAGACGGGGTGGAAGAGGCGCACGCTGTGTCTGAGTCGATGTGCGGGGCGGCTACAGGCGCGATAGGCGACTAGGATGACTTTGGAGAGGAGGAGGAGGAGGGAGATGGCGGTTAGGATGCCTGGGGCGAGCGGTTAGTCGAGCGCGCGCGGGCAAGAGGGGAGGGTGGGAGGCACGAAGTGGGGAGTTAGAGAGGGACGAGGGGTGGGAGGAGCGGAGAGAGAAGCGAAGAGCGTGTAAGAAAGACATACTAATAACCCCAGTAATGCCGTATGCCTCCCACCTTGGGAGCGCCGCGAGCGCGCAGCCCGCGCGATTCAGGAAGAAGGGCACAGGGATGCCATAGTGCAAGGCAGTCAGCGGAAAGCACTTGGAATCTTGAAGTTGCGGTGACAGGGGCAGCTCGACGCCGAGAGTGTACTCAATTGCCTCGAGGAGAGTGGCCTGACGCTGGATCGGACACCGTGAGGCAGTGGGGGCGCCAGAGGCGAGGTTGAGGGACGTCGGTGCCTGCACAGAGCCGGCGTTGACGACGAGAGGGGTTGCTACGATGACCACTACAATTCAGGCTCTCAGGTGGCATCGATTCAAATGGCGAAAGGACGCACGGAGCCCAGCGCACAGCACCACCAGAGGAAGGAACGTCGGTTTCATGGGCCTTCCTAGCTGGAGAGAGGCAGAGAGGAGGACATGGATTCAAATTTGAATTCGATGGTCGGCGTCGGGGTGATGGTCATGGCGATCAGGAGGCGGCTGCTTGCGGGCCGGGCCGGTCCGCCAATGGGCCGCTCTTTGTCTCCACCTCAACGCGGGTCGCCGCGTTGGAATCTCGGAATTTCCGTTGTTCCTTTTGGCAGACTGTAATTTCAACAAACAAATTCAATGCCTCTGGCTTTAAACAGCAGTCCAACCTTCGTGTTTATTACTTCTCGGACTTGGTCTTGACGGATATTGTATTTCCTTCTTTGCTCGCCCACTGGGACATTGGCTCGCAAGGCCTCCCACCATCTCGCCACCTGAACTTGTGCTGTATGATGTATCTCGCAAAGCCCTGTGGTTGCTCGTGTCTTTTGATTTTCTAGGCCACCCGTACTCTCCCCTTCAATTCGGCCGCTTCTCAAGTTCTCTTCTCCTATCTTGTCTTGCCTCGAGCCTTCTTTGGCCCTAATCAACGGCGCCTCGGCGGAGAACGAGTGGTCTGGATATATAAAAAATTAACCCGTGTGTTCTCGGAACGGGCCTCTGGTTGGTTGGTTATTTTCTTTCCTTCGGGCGCTCGCAGTTCCTGGTCAAATTTATTCCGCCCCCCCAAGGTTCGGTGTATTCTCTTACCTCAAGCAGCTCATTCTTTCCTGGGGCCTCCAGTGTCTCCGTTCCCCGTTCCATCGCTGTCCAGTGGCCGCATTGACGCGAGATTCCCGTTCCAAAAATCCTCCACAGTCGAACGGCCGCGTGCGAGACGGTACGCAGCTCTCAGATCAAATCTGTTTCCCGGATATCTGACGAGATTCAGTGGCTTGAGTGGCCTTGTCTGTTCCTCGCTACCTCGATCTCTCCCATTTGTTATGGGGCTTCTGAGGCAGTCCCGCAGCGGCTGTGGCATGCCGAGGCAACAAACTTTAACACTTGACTTGACCCAGAAAGCATATATAGTCTACACCCGTTGGAATCATATGGAGACGATGATTTGAGGAGGATTATAAAATTGAATTGGGTATTTTGCGTGAGTACGATGGATGAGATGTCGGAAAAATGGCCGGTTTGAGCACGATACACGGGAATGCGCGCCGAGTAAGCGTATCGATGGAGGTAACATGAATAGCCGTACGACACGTCAGCGGAGTAGGATGAATGAATATGTATGTAGAATGGACAGGCAGTCGGGGGACGGGATTCAATCTCAAATCGACTTGCCAAAATTGGATATTTCTCTTCCACATCCTGGCCTGACAAACGGCAATGCCGGCTCACATTCGGCACAGTATGTGCCACAAAATCATCCCATCACTTCTCCGTCAAAAGAACCCCAGTCATGAGTTCTACGTGTCCACCTGGATCAAAGTGGTGGCCTTGTACAGAATATAATTATATAACGGCAGGAGTTGAATAATCTAAGCCGGGCGGTGCGTCCCTGTCGGTGTACAAGAGCTCAATCACATCCGGCAGCCTATTGGCTGTATGTTCATCGAATCAGGATGTCTTGGACATGAATCTGCTGGTCACGGTAAAGTAAAACCCGAGGTTACCGATTCTCGCAATTGTCGGCTAATAAACGTCTCCTGTTCCCGAGCGGTATCTACCGAGATGTAAAGGTACGCCGTGCTCCACTTTAATGTATGGATGGAAGCAGCTGACTCCGCCCGGCAGGCAGCGTTCTTGTCCTCCGCATTCCTTCGGTCATTTTAACTTGAACAATATGCCGTGGCTGGCAAAAGAAGTCGTGCTGAGAACTACCGCATCTAAATAAGGAAGTTTGCGTCTTTGAAAGTCGGAAAAGCTTCCACTCGAGCCAGAAATCCTCACCGTGCGCTGTGGGCGTGGACCGGACCGTATTTATACTAGTAGGTGCCGAGCTAGCCGGAATCTCAATTCAAAAATTGTTGAAAGCGATGAGAACACTGGTCAGTGATACCTTCGCAGACCCACAGCGCTACCAACGTACGGGACTAACTAACGAGGGTGCAAGCCATTTCAGAAATCATGTAGAGGGTGAGGGTACTCGAGACCTTCGTGAGGGCATAGAGGTTTTTTTCTCTCGTAAATCCCAATTGACTCATTGCCTTGCGACCGCGGAACATCGGTAGTTGCCCTTGTTGCAAAGAGAAAAGAGGAAAAAACTCGCACGTACCGGTGAAGGTTTTAGCGAAAGGAGTAGTGTCCATTGTCATGTACGCACGGTGCCGATTAGCTGCGCACCGGAATATAAGGGTACGCCCTACTGTAGTTGACGGGGACATTTAGGCTCTAATCTCTCTGTCGTTCCATCCGCCTCCCATACTCAACTTCGCTGTCTAGCATGTCGGACTCAGATGAATCTCAGAATGAGGCGCAGTTCGGTATGACAGGAGGCTTCCAATTCGTCGCGTATACCTTGGATGTCGCGTGCGCTCGACGCGTTTTCTGCACCAATCCCACATCTCACCCGTTTTCTTTTTTCTGTTTATATAGCTTATGGGGCGCAGCGATGGTCCGTATTTCCACCCCTACGAACAAACGCTAAATTCCGATCCATGATTCTGGTCATGTACAGTCACTCGTTCTTCAATATTTTCACAGATATGCCAAGAAAGATCCTCTGGGGACTCGTTTAGTCGTAAGAAATTCGCCAATGCAAAGTGGAACTAAATTTTGACAGGAGGTGATTTTCAGGTCGGTTTTCTGGGGTATGGAAATCAAAATTATATATTTTTCAAGCAGTGAACTTATGCATCTCAAGACTGATAGCGACAAACCACATTCTTTTTTACGCGGTCCAGAACTACAAGGATCTCATCTTATTATTCGGGAACTATGAAGCTCAAAATATTATCATGTACGCTTTGGTGAACTTGCAGATTACAACAGTTACTGACAGCGATCTCCCTTCCTCATGTACACAGCAACGAGGATAATGTGCGCCTGCATTCGTTTGCCTTGTCAAGTCGTCCGTTCTCATTAAATCACTGATTCTTCAAGGTGATGCTTGGCTCAGTGGTATGCCGAAATTGGACCTTTCTCTGGCAAAAAATGATTCGCGGGCGTTAGTTCGTTGTTGCTTTCACAGCCCAAATGTACGGCCCGATTAACGTATATTCCATCTGCGATTGACAGCCTTTAGGTTTTATGCCAGTCGAATTTGGATGTGTACGCCCACAGATTCAATGGAGCCATTTAATATTGATGCTCTACACCAGTAACCAGACCTCGTTGGAACTTTGTTGCGCCTGTTGTAAGCCTGCAGCTCATTCCACTGGTCCGGCTCCCTGAAATCTCCTCTCACAGATCTTTCTGGCTACTCTACAGTTTGGTACAAATCCCTAGCCCATTCGCAAATTTCTCCTGTTGACATTTCTTTCGTAGCTGCTGGTATCGGTACGTCTAAGATACTTCTGTGGCAGGCAATTCGTGATGGCCATCATTGGTTGTAGCACAAACTATCTTGGTGTTCGTCACTCAGATCATATATAACTATTCAAGCCTCACCGCCCTCACCACAGTGCTCGCGAACATTTATTTTCAAAACTGCTTGCTACCGCGGTGCGGAAGACAAGAAACGTTCAATTTTCACGCAGTACTTACGTGAAATCATGGCAGCCAGTGTCTTCAACCCAAAGTGGTGGCGCCTTAGCTTGCGATTTGACAATCACCTTCATCCTCTCATATATT